TGCACTGGGGCATCAGATCATGATTGTTAAATATAACAGACATTGCATGTCACTTATGTTTAATCACTAGCCGTTCTAAACTTTGTACGGTTGCTTTAATTTCAGGTGAAAATAAAGACAAAAATTGTCCAACATTTGAAAATTTTTTTTTTATTAATTTATTTCTTGATCTAAGATTTCGACTCACATGAGCCATCTTCAGAACAATTTACTCTTTTTATATGCTAAATAGTATTATACTATTCATGTATAGCATTTATTTTACTATTTAGCTTATAAAAGAGTAAATCATGTTTCAATACTATGATTGTATTTATAATTTTAATTATTTTTTAATCACCAGTTACTTACCATCACCTGAAGAAGTACAACCATAGTATTGAAACATGAAAGCTTTTGTGTAGCGATTTCAAAATATTTTTTATAATCTTCTATGAGATATATTGCCCTACATCAAATTGAGCAATTTAGTATATGAGTTTAATTGCCAGTGTGCTGCTGGTTATGTGGGGCGTACAACCTTGCATTTGGAAACTACAATCAACCAGCATGTACCTTCCAAAATACGAGTTGGTCAGGTAGAAAAAATGTTATCTCCCCCCGCCCCCATAAATATGGAATCAGATACTGATTTCTGTTCGACCATCAACCTGTTAAAGTATCTCCAGTGTTGATTGGTTCCCAGGCTGATATTAGGTGCCCCGCCCCTTTAAACTGTCCTTTTCTGAAAGGTTCTTTTTATTTTTATTTATAGTGTCTGGGTTTTATGAGCTTAACAGTGGATAATTTCTGCCATTTAATTGGTTAGTATTTTGGAGAAGGTTTAGTAATAAGTTTCAATCTGTTGATTGTCGGACATTGGCCGAGATCTTTCAGGTAAGCAAATTTCCTGGATCTCAGCAAATTTTCTTACTGATGAAATTAGAATGAAAAATTTTTAAAATTTATATTTTCCTCTCTTTTCTTAGCATACATCTCTCTCTCTCTCTCTCCCCTTCTCCAGCACCGTTTTCCCCACCTGGCATATCTCTCTCTCTCTCTCTTTCGCCTCCCCTTCCGTTCCAGGCACACGTCTCTCTCTCACACCACCTTCCAAGCTCTCTCTCCTCCCCTTTCCGTTCACTCTCTCTCTCTCTCTCCCTCTCTCTCTCCCCTCCCCTTTCTCAGCACCTCTCTCTCTCCTCCCCTTTCGTTCAGGCACACGTCCCTCTCTCCTCCCCTTCCTTCTCTCTCTCTCTCTCTCTCCTCCCCTTTCCGTTCCAACCCCACTCCCTCTCCCACTTCCTGTCCTCTCTCTCTCTCTCCCCTTTCCGTTCAGGCACGTGTGTCTCTCTCTCTCTCTCCTCCCCTTTCCCGTTCCAGGCACATCTCTCTCTCTCTCTCTCCCCCTTTCCGTTCTCTCTCTCTCCTCCCCTTTCCGTTCCAGGCACGTCTCTCTCTCTCTCTCTTTCCAGGCCTCCCCTCTTCTCTCTCTCCCCTTTCCGTTCCAGGCACACGTCTCTCTCTCTCTCTCTCTCTCTCCTTTCCGTTCCAGGCACCGTCTCTCTCTCTCTCTCCCCTCCCCCTTCCAGGCACCGTCTCTCTCTCTCTCCTCCTTTCCGTTCCAGGCACGTCTCTCTCTCTCTCCTCTCCTTTCCGTTCCAGGCACCGTCTCTCTCTCTCTCTCTCTCTCCCTCCCCTTTCTCTCTCTCTCCCCTTTCCGTTCCAGGCTCTCTCTCTCTCTCTCCTCCCCTTTTCCGTTCCAGGCACGTCTCTCTCTCTCTCTCCTCCCCTTTTCTTCCAGGCCTCTCTCTTCTCTCTCTCTCCTCCCCTTTCCGTTCCAGGCACACGTCTCTCTCTCTCTCTCTCCTCCCCTTTCCGTTCCAGGCACACGTCTCTCTCTCTCTCTCTCCTCCCCTAACCCCTCTATCTCTCTCTCTCTCCCCCCTTTCCATTCCAGGCACACTCTTCTTTCTCAATTCTCCTTTTCCAACACATATTTCCTCTCTCTCTCTCCTCCCCTTTCAGCACTCCTTCCAATTTATCCCAATTTTGTTGTATTCCACTTCCATTCCAGGCATTTCTCTCCTCCCCTTTCCATTCAGGCACCGTCTCTCTCTCTCTCAAAGTGAGCATGTTCTATTTTTAAGTAAATTTTATTTCATCGCCTAATCACACACAACTTTTCTGCAACACTTCTTCGTTCAAGCAGTCTCTTAACTATCATGAGTCACAACTCATACATAATTTAACATTTTTATGACATTGTCAAGAAAATCTAAAAAAATATCTCCAATAAAAGCCTTGAAAGGCCCTTGTTAGTTGAATAAAGGAGAAAAAAAAAACTTAAGTTTTATTCAAACAGAAATGGGGCATAATTTTCCTAAGAGATTTTCTGCTATTATCGCTATTATTAAATTAAGTTTCTTTTCTAAAAAAGCTTTGTCTTTTTGAAGAAGGCTTCACTTTTTGTGGGGAATAGGGTCAATTATTTTCATTTATAGATCTTTTTTTTTTCTCCCTGTCTTTAGTTTTCTGCCAAGATTCCTGTTGATCTTGTTATTATTAGTTCTTGATTGTAATTATTCTTTCATTGGAACATTCTTGCGTTTATTTCTCTCTTTCTTGTTGCTTTATATCAAGTGGTATCTCGTTAGCTTCTTGGTATGAAGTTCATGACATCTGTTTCTAACCCAGCACATTTCTTTCTTTTCGCACTCCCTCTCTCTCTCTCTCTCTCTCTCTGTCCTTTCTTTTCCCTCCTCTCTCTCTCTGTCCTTTCTTTTCCCTCCTCTCTCTCTCTGTCCTTTCTTTTCCCCTCCTCTCTCTCTGTCCTTTCTTTTCCCTCCTCTCTCCTGTCCTTTCCCTTTCCTCTCTCTCTCTGTCCTTTCTTTTCCCTCCTCTCTCTCTCTGTCCTTTCTTTTCCTCCTCTCTCTGTCCTTTCTCCTCTGTCCTTTCTTTTCCCTCCTCTCTCTCTCTGTCCTTTCTTTCTCTCTCTCTCTCTCTCTCTGTCCTTTCTTTTCCCTCCTCTCTCTCTCTGTCCTTTCTTTTCCCTCCTCTCTCTCTCTGTCCTTTCTTTTCCCTCCTCTCTCTCTCTGTCCTTTCTTTTCCCTCCTCTCTCTCTGTCCTTTCTTTTCCCTCCTTTCTCTCTGTCCTTTCTTTTCCCTCCTTTCTCTCTGTCCTTTCTTTTCCCTCCTTTCTCTCTGTCCTTTCTTTTCCCTCCTTTCTCTCTGTCCTTTCTTTTCCTCCTTTCTCTCTGTCCTTTGTTTTCCCTCCTTTCTCTCTCCTTTCTTTTCCCTGTCCTTTCTTTTCCCTCCTTTCTCTCTGTCCTTTCTTTTCCCTCCTTTCTCTCTGTCCATTCTTTTCCCCCCTCTTTCTCTCTGTCCTTTCTTTTCCCCCTTTCTCTCTCTCTGTCCCTCCTTTCTCTCTCTCTGTCCCTTTTCTTCTCTCCTGTCCCTCCTTTCTCTCTCTCTGTCCCTCCTCTCTCTCTCTCTCTCTGTCCCTCCTCTCTCTCTCTGTCCTTCCTCTCTCTCTCTCTCTCTGTCTCTCCTCTCTCTGTCTCTCCTCTCTCTCTCTGTCCATTCTTCCCCCCCTCTCTCTCTGTCCATTCTTCCCCCCCCTCTCTGTCCTTTTCCCCCCTCTCTCTGTCCTTTCTTCCCCCCCCTCTCTTTGTCCTCCAAGTCAGAGAGCCCCTGTTACAACTATAATGAATGAGAAAGAAAGGGATAAATCTCCACTCCTGTGTGAATTTTAGAAATTTGCTCAAGAGCCACTCAAGGTAGTGCTAATTTTAAAATCATTATGATGTGTGAAAGAAGAGGTAGTAGAAAGTGAAGATTGTGAGGATAGATAATGATTCAGCCCATAACTTGTAGTGGACAGGGAAATATCGACTTTTTTCCCCCTCTAGGACTGCCGAGGAAAATTTTTCTAGAATTCTAACTACAGAAGAAATGAGGGGAATTTGACTCCATGGAAGTTGCTTGGCATAGTAAAGATTGGAATTAGTACACGACAGTTGCAGTTTCTATTTATACACCTTCCCCACCTGTTTGATTAGGAGTGTCTCTTTATAATCTCCTCTCAGTTTCTTGTGTCTTGGTATTAAACTTGACGTATGCGAGTTTTCCTTCTATTCCTATATTTATTGAAAAAGCAAAGAATGAGCAACGTTTTTTATTTTTTTTTTATTTATTTATTTTTTTGTATGCTGAAGTTTTACAAGAAATTTTGTCCTTACTTTCTTTGTGTGCTTTAAATGTACATGTAAATTCTATTTTGTTTTGGTCTTGCGTTTTTTTGCTTTGGTCTTGCGTTTTTTTGTTTTGGTCTTTTTTGTTGGTTTCTTTTATTTTTGTTTGTCAGTTTTGTGTCTCTTTTTGGCGGAGTTGTCTCTTTTTTTGGTTTTGTCTCTTTTTCGGTCTCTTTTTGGTCTCTTTTTTGGTCTCTTTTTTGGGTTTTGTCTCTTTTTCGGTATCTTTTTGGTCTCTTTTTTGGGTTTTGTGTCTTTTTTGGGTTTTGTGTCTTTTCTTTGTTTTTGGTTTTGTGTCTCTTTTTTTTCTTTTTTTTCTTTTCTTTTTTTTTGGTTTTGTGTCTCTTTTTTTCCTTTTTCTTTTTTTGGTTTTTTGTCTCTTTTTTTTTTTTTTTTTGTGTCTCTTTTTTCCTTTTTTCTTTTTTTTTGGTTTTGTGTCTCTTTTTCTTTTTTTTTTTTTGGTTTTGTGTCTTTTTTTTTTTTTTTTTTTTTTGGTTTTGTGTCTCTTTTTTCCTTTTTTTTTTTTTTTTTGTGTCTTTTTTTTCTTTTTTTTTTTTTTTTTTTTGTCTCTTTTTTTCCTTTTTTCTTTTTTTTTGGTTTTGTGTCTCTTTTTTTCCTTTTTTCTTTTTTTTTGGTTTGTGTCTCTTTTTTTCCTTTTTTCTTTTTTTTTGGTTTTGTGTCTCTTTTTCCTTTTTTCTTTTTTTTTGGTTTTGTGTCTCTTTTTTTCCTTTTTTCTTTTTTTTGGTTTTGTGTCTCTTTTTTTCTTTTTTTTTTTTTTGGTTTTTTGTGTCTTTTTTTCCTTTTTTTTTTTTTGTTTTGTGTCTTTTTTTTTTTTTTGGTTTTGTGTCTCTTTTTTTTCTTTTTTTTTTCTTTTTCTGGTTTTGTGTCTCTTTTTTTTTTTTTTTTTTCTTTTCTTTTTTTGTCTTTTTTTTTTTTTTTTGGTTTTGTGTCTTTTTTTTTTTTTTTTTTTTTTTTTTTTTGTGTCTCTTTTGTTTTTGGGTTGTTGGTTTTTAAGGTGGGTACAGCAATTTTTGTGACTGAGAAAGGAAATAGCTTGCTTTTTAGAATAACTAAAAATCCAACAAGTTGAACATCTTTAAGGAAATTAATCTTTATTCACTTTTTGTTTTGGGTGGGGGGATATCTTTTATGTATATTTTGCATGGATGTAGTTGTAAACACATCACTTGGCATTTCTAAATTTAAATAATTTTAAATTGCTTTTTTAGTTGGAATAGTAGGGGAGTGATAACTAGTTACCCCTTTTTTGTTCTTTGATTTAAATGTATAAATTTGTTTTTCCAAATGTTAGCACTTGTAATCAGTACAATTTTTTTATTCATACCAGCTAATGATTGTCTTTTCCCACTATTCACAGTTGCATTTTAAATGTCACAACAGTCACATCTTTTAAGATTACTGCAGAAATACCATGAAATATTTATTGCATTGAATTTTACTCAATCTATACGGGAATCTGATAAGATTATAGTATGTTTCTTTTTGTTTCCTTTATTTTTTTTATTTATTTCTATTTATTTTTTTTTCCTTTTTTTTCTGGGGTTCATCTTTGTCTCCCACTTCAAGATTTGCTCCCTGCACCTCCCACACATTCACTGATGTTTCAAGCCCCCACCCGACTTTTTTTCTCTCTAATCCCTTTTTTGTTGATGTTCTCAGCAGTGCTTTTGCGTTTGGCATCTGTGTTTGAAACACCTGTTCCATCCTTTCAAGTTGCGTCAGCAACTTGGAGGCATATTGATCGCGTGCAATCAAGAAAAAAACCTGGAACAAACCAGTTTAGAAAATCCTTCATTGTCCTTTTGTATTTGTCTTTCACCATGCCCTATAATATAAATTAAGGAATTTTTTTTCTGGCGTTTTACTTCAAACATTATTTTTAGTGGTTACCTGTGTTTGAAATAGATGTCCCGTTTTCTTTTCCTTTTTTTTTTTTTTTTTTTTTTTTTAACAGTTTATATTATATCTACCAATTTTCACACTCAAGAAAACTTAACGAAGTGCTTGAACCTGTGTCCCTCTTTGTAGGAAAAACCACTGTTTGATCATAGCATGCTTTAGACCACTTAGCCACTACATTTGTCTATTTGAGAAAATGTGCTCTCCAGCAGGGTGCATAGGCTGATAGATGTAATATACACTGTTTAAAATTAAAAAAAAAAAATTGGGAGTCTATTTGAAACCTGGGTATCCACTAAAAATATGTTTGAAGTAATAAAAATCTCAATGCTTTAGAAATTGATTTGTTTACATTACGGATACGGAACTGAACAAATATGGCCTTTTGAGAAAACCTTACTGAGGGTGTGTATGTTGCTTAAATGGGGAAAATAGAAATGGACTGTGATGATCTCTGTGGCTGCCAGGTCAAATGACAATTTCTCCTACAAAGGAGAACACAGACTTGCACCTTGTTTTTATTAAGTTTTACCAAATGCGCAGGCCACTAAGATGTGCACTGTTTAACCCCTTCCCTGGTATATGTTTTTGCCGAAAGTGTCTTTTTCAGACTAAGATGAATAAACATGTCCAAAACACAACATTCAAAAACCAGCTACAGACGTGGTTATACATCAATCTTGTTTGTTTATGCACTTCTGAGCTTGAAACTAGTCCAATTGTCAACTCATACAATTAGCCATTGCTCGGGTACTTCAAGGTGCCTCAATTTCCTAGTTACTATATTAGAAACAAATAAAAAAAATTATCTGAAAATGGAATGATTGGCAGGGAAGGTGTTAAAATGAAAAATGAGGCTCTCCTGGGTTCCTCTCCTCTCTCTCCCTCCTCCTCTCTCTCCTCCTCCTCTCTCTCCTCCTCCTCCTCCTCCTCTCTCTCTCTCTCTCCCCTCCTCTCTCTCTCCCCTCCTCTCTCTCTCTCTCTCTCTCTCTCCTCCTCTCTCTCTCCTCCTCTCTCTCTCCCTCCTCTCTCTCTCCCCTCCTCCTCTCTCTCCCTCCTCCTCTCCTCCTCCTCTCTCCCTCCTCCTCTCTCTCTCCCTCCTCCTCCTCTCTCTCTCTCCTCCTCCCCTCTCCTCTCTCTCCCTCCCTCCCCCCCTCTCTCTCCCTCCTCCTCTCCTCTCTCTCTCCCTCCTCCTCTCCTCCTCCTCTCTCCCTCCTTCTCTCCTCCTCTCTCCTCCTTCCTCCTCCTCTCTCCCTCCTCTCCTCCTCTCTCTCTCTCTCTCTCTCTCCTCTCTCTCTCTCTCCTCTCTCTCTCTCCCTCCTCCTCCTATCTCTACTTTGATCTATTGATTCTTTTATACTCTTTTGATGTCTATGCTTGTGTATGTGCTGACCAAACATCTCCATTCATAGCCATACGAAACATGAATGTCTTCTTTTGAAGTCTTTGAGTGTCTAATTCCTGCTTCCAACCAGAAGCCACTTTTCCATTAATTCTTATCTTTCTGGGCACAACTGATCCGCATTACACTGAACCATAAATATTGATTTTCTTTCTTTCTTGTTTGTTTGTTTCTTTCTTTCTTGTTTGTTTCTTTCTTTCTTTCTTGTTTCTTTCCATCTTGTTCATCATTGAGTAAATTTGTCAGAACACTTTAGAAAAAGTTCCTGTTGAATATTTGACAAGATACATATTAGAATATCATTTAGAAGCTGAGAATAAGGAAACTTGTTTTGTGATTGATAAAGGATCAGTTTACTTCTAATATTACTCAAGTACAGTTTGATGGAGCTTTAGCAGTATGTAAAATAAAATTAAAAAAAACTGGGCATCTATTTCAAACATGGGTATCCACTAAAAATAAGATTAAAAATGAAAAGAGCTCTAAACAGGAAGCAAGGGATAAATTTCTACTCCTGTTCAAAAGAATGGGGAGGAGTATGAACTGGGTGTTAGACAAACCTATCTGCTCCTATTTAAGAGAAGAAAAAACAAATTATTAGTAAATAAAATTTCAGAGTTTGGGCAGAGACTTTAGAAGGCTAACTCTCTCTCTCTCTCTCTCTCTGTGCCTTGCTTCTTTATTTGCCTTCTCTCCTACCCCTCTCTCTCTCTCTCTCCTACCCCCTCTGCTCTCACTGCTTTGTCTGCACCTTCCTCTCCTTTAAATTTTCCTTGTATATCTGTTCAAAACTATATGCATGCATGAAATCCCATTTTGTGCTTTTTAAATGAAATTCATTTTTTTTTTTTTTTTTTTTTTAAATAAATGAAAAAAAAAACTCTACTGTAAACATCAATGCTTAAAGTGAATGAATGAAACCAGTGCAGCAGAAACTAACTGCTCCCCCCCCTCAACACCCAATCACTCTTCAGAACGAGTGGCATTCATTGATTAATGTTGATTTTTGCCCACAAGCCGAATTATCAGTGCTTCAGTGTCTGATTGATTGGATATGAGTTGTTTGATTGTGCCCTCAAGTGACCTTCTTTTTTGTTGTTTTAGTTATTTTAGTTAACTTGGAAAAAATAAATATTTTACCTCTATGAACCTTGTCTTGTCTAATTTAGTCATCTGTTTGTCTATCTCTCTCTGAGCCAACTCAAATTGAATCTTAGCTAATTCTATAAAAACTTGTTGGTTGTTTTAAATGTAGACATGAATGATTTCTAATTTGTCACACAGAAAACGTATTCTATAATGTAATCTATTCAAGTAAAAGTTAGCTAAGTTTCACTATTCTTCAAACATCTGACCGCACTAAACAATTAATATTAATTATATTAAACAAAGAAAATATCAACTGCTTCAAAATTATTCAAAACTAATTTTTTAGAGTAGATATTTCATTTTTTTGATTTTGGGTTTAATCAACGTTCATAACATATAGAGGACACTATTTATGTTATTCGGACTATTTTCCTCATCTTTGTCACCATATTTATTACAATGTTTCAGCCATTGTATGCTCCGGCCTTCTTCAGGTGGTTAGAATGTCAAACTGAATCCTGTTCTTAAGGACACATGGCACAGTGGATAAAGGCGTTAGTTAGATCCAGTGACAGGACCAAAAGACTGTGAGTTCGATACTCGGTTAAGGCAGTGGAGAACTTGGAGAAGGGAATTAACAGGAGATAACTGATATCCATTAAACATGGCACAAGACATAATACCTCATCTCAGAAATATAATTTATTTATTATTTTTTAAAATTTCATAGTCAAAGTGGCATTTTAATAAACCTTTCCATAACCCAGGCTGTTATATAAATTTTATTGTTACATATTATCGTAATTTTTTTTTTTTTTTTTGTGGGATAACATGTTTGAGTTGGCATCCTGTTTATTTCTTTAATTTTATTTTATTTTTTCATTTTTTCGTTTTATTTTTTTATTTTTTCATTTTTTCGTTTTATTTTTTTATTTTTTCATTTTTATTTTTTTTTTTTTTTCATTTTTTTTATTTTTTATTTTTTTTTTTTTATTTTTTTTTTTTTTTTTTATTTTTTTTTTTTTTTTTCATTTTTTCGTTTTATTTTTTTATTTTTTCATTTTTTCGTTTTATTTTTTTATTTTTTCATTTTTTCGTTTTATTTTTTTATTTTTTCATTTTTTCGTTTTATTTTCTTAGAAAAGTTTCTTAAAAACAGGTATGTCAACTCACATGTGTACTTACTGAAATGTTTATTTTATTAATAAAGTTACATACTTTTCATAATTACCAGAGCATGGGGATGTCTACTCAAACATAGGTATCCACTAAATATTTTAACCTTTTAGCACCTGTTGTTCCCCTAGTGGAACATATTTTAGAACTTTTTTGGTTAAATATCAGACTAGCATTAATTTCATTTATTTTATTCTTATAGATAATATATATATATATGTTAAAATACATTTTATGACTCACCAGTTTATGCTGATTTTTGTCAAATTTGCAAACCTGTAAGGGCACAAATGTGACGTTTACAGTAATGAGTAACATGCTGACTATATAAAAATTAAAAGAATCATATTAAGTTTTTCTATTTAGGAAAATAGCTTTAATAAGTATGTCAGATGTTTTATGAACATTTTAAAACTATTCAGAATGACTCGGGTTTCTCTGTGAGCAAATATAGCGTTTGTTGTAATTGGATTTTAATCTTATTTGAAATGGCATGTTAAACGCGTATAAAATAATTAGAGCAAAGCTATTGGCTGTTTATTTCTATTGATGACTAGAATTTTGATGTCATTTGGGCAGACATCAAATGTGAACTTCTATTAGCAATCTAACCAATGTTTAAAAATTGACTTAAATCTATCTCGGTACTGTTGACGACTTCAATCTGTGTCGTGTTGCCATCGATGACTTGAATTTTGATGACATCAAATATGAGCTTTTATATAGCAATGAAACCATTATTTAAAAAAAATGACTTAAATCCAGTTATACAATACATTGGTCTTTGTTTTTATTTTTATGTTTTTAGTATTTATTTATTATATATCTGTATATTGCTGTGTGTGTATACTTATACAGGATACCTAAAACATGAGTTAGAATGACAAGATATTTATTACTCCTATCTAACTGATTCTTTTGGAAAAAGCCAAATTCCTATCCCGATCATGATTCCTGTGACCCATTAGGGTCACCGGGACACCACACATATATCAGAAGTTGGTATAGTCTAATGGTGTTTGTCCTCCAGTCGTCGGCCTGATGATTGCATCTAGCATGAAACAGCCTGTCACCTCAGTGTTGGCTTCTATGTTCACTTTTATATTTATATTTACATATGCTCTATCTCTGATATTGAGCACTTTATCCTATAAATATATCGCACCTTAAAACTATATTTCTTTGTGTATGTGTGTGCATACATATATATATGTAAATACAAAAGTAGATCATAAATGCATTCATGTTCCGATGCATATCAGGCAGTGCTAAATGAGGGTTATTACAATTTTTAATATTTACTTCCAAACAATCTCTTTTTACTGCGATATAAGAAATGGAAGAAAGACATAAGCTACCATCTCTATCTAAGAAGAAAGAAAGACTCTGGATATAGTCTCTTTGTAAAAAGAAAAAAGCAAGACATAAGATATAGTTGAAAAAAAAGGAAAAGACAAGATATAATCACACCTAAAACAGAAAAATAAAGAAAGAAAATAAGAGTGAGAAGGAAAGAAAGAAAGACACAAGATATTGTCTCTTCTCCAAAAAAAAAAAAGGAGAAAAATAAATATATGGATGATGTAAAAATGTCAAGAAGTGAAACATGATGCTCTGTTTCAGGTCGGTAGATGTAAATATACTATTTAATAATAAAAACAGAGCATCTACTCAAATATGAGTATCCATTAAAATAACATTTAAAAACAAATTATATATACCCAAGTATAGGATTAGTGTAGATGGAATAAATTCCAATAACCAAAAATACTATTCTTAACCCTAGAACACTAACTATGGGTATATAGTACCCAGTGCAAATTTTCCTATTTTTAATTACAATTTTCAGTACCTGATTTTCTTACCTAAATAATGTTTTTCAGTTTCTATTAATGTTAACTCAAAGTACAAAGTTTGAAGTGCTTGCATTTAAATTATTTCAAATAAAGATTTATATTTAATATATTTTTTGATATTTTCAAAATCGGGTATGAAATACCCATGGTTAGTAGTGGTATAACTTTAATTGATGATTAGTGTTCTAGGGTTAAGAGTGCTCAATACAGAGTAGAGCAAATATTATTTATTCAAAAATTATAACATAAATATGTTATGTCACTACAAAAATAGCTGTGTTGAAACAAAATGGCGATTTTTTTTTTTTTTTTTTTTTTTTTTTTTTTTGTAGTGATGTTAAAAATGTTTGTTATAAAATGTTTGAATAAATTTTGAATAAATATTATATATAATATTTAAAATATAACACATTTGTATGTAATAAGGAATACTCTTTCTCCAAGCCAACATACATTACCATAAAAGTTTCAAAATATTAAAAGGAAAGCAGTTTAGTCAAAACCTATAATTATTATTGTTTAAAATAAGTAATTTATCAAATTAAAATATTATATAATAATGATAATGATTACATTAATAAATAAAAAAAATAATTAAATAAGAAAATAAAAATTCCAGTCTCATTTACTAACTTTTGTTTATTAGTCATTAAATTTTATCACTTAGCAGCCTCCATAATTATCTTGACTTTCAGTTAGTCTGAAGAACATTTACAACTGTTTTTGAATTTAAAATTTTTTAAAACCTAACAGTATTTTAATTTGGTTTATAAATACTTGTTACAAAATAAAATCCTTACATTTGACTTCATGAAGTCCATCAGAG